CCCGCATTGAATCGCCTCCCGCAATAAGCAGCAGCCTGCATACCCGCCGCGGCGCTTTGATATGCCCCCCGACGTGCACGCAAGCCCGGTCGTATGCCACGCCGCCCTCGGCTCTGGCATTTAGCAGCGCAGCAGGCAGCCCTCTCATGCTGCCGGAAGATTTGGTATCGGCGCACAGCCACAGCCTTGACTTTCATTCGAGCTCTGCAGCTTTGATTCCACCATCCCTGGCACACCCTGGTGGCACCCTGGTGGCGCCCCCGCCGCCACCGGAATGAGTTGTGTGTGCATTGTGCAACGGTTGCGCGTCGCGCATGGAGCAGCGGCCTCGCGTGCCGGCGGGTGAGCGATTTTCCCGTTGCAGCGGGTCTCTTTTTTGCTGAGACCGCCAGGGTAACAATGCCGTTTCAACTGAATGAGCGAGTGCGACCAGACGGGCTCAGGTGGCACCCACCGAGCTAAAACAGCGCACGACCCTCACAGGCCGGCGCGCCGGTTCTACAGGCACCTCGGGCTTACACGTTCCTGCAGCTTGCAAGCCGCTTTTGGGGTTCACCGCCACTGGGAGGGGTGGCTTTGCGCTCAATGCAGGCGAAAAAAAGCACCGCGGGCTTTGACACAGTCAGTCAGGCCTCAAAGCGCCACGCCCTCGAGTGCCGCCTGCGCAAGGATCCACTGGGCAGTGGCACCAGCCGCCAATTGCAAGCACTCGTGCACATCCCAGGGGCAGGGCGGCTCCTGGGCGCGCGCCCACTGCAGAAAGGCCAGGCGGCCGCCGCTGGCCGCTGCGCTGCACGTCTCCTCGTCCCAGGGGCAGGGCGGCTCCTGGGCGCGCGCCCACTGCAGCACGGCCAGTTCGCCAAGGCCGGCCGCTGCGCTGCACGTCCACTCGCCCCAGGGGCAGGGCGGCTCTTGGGCGCGCGCCCACTGCAGCACGTCCAAGTGGCCAAAGCCGGCCGCTTCACTGCACGTCCCCTCGTCCCAGGGGCAGGGCGGCTCCTGGGCGCGCGCCCACTGCAGAAAGGCCAGTTCGCCAAGGCCGGCCGCTGCGCTGCACGTCTCCTCGTCCCAGGGACAGGGCGGCTCCTGGGCGCGCGCCCACTGCAGCACGTCCAAGTGGCCGTCGCAAGCCGCTTTGCTGCACGTCCCCTCGTCCCAGGGGCAGGGCGGCTCCTGGGCGCGCGCCCACTGCAACACGGCCAGGTGGCCGTCGCAAGCCGCTTTGCTGCACGTCTCCACGTCCCAGGGACAGGGCGGCTCCTGGGCGCGCGCCCACTGCAGCACGGCCAGGTGGCCGCCGCCGGCTACTGCGCTGCACGTCCCCTCGTTCCAGGGACAGGGCGGCTCCTGCGCGCGCGCCCACTGCAGCACGGCCAGGTGGCCGCCGCCGGCCGCTGCGCTGCACGTCCCCTCGTCCCAGGGGCAGGGCGGCTCCTGGGCGCGCGCCCACTGCAGCACGGCCAGGTGGCCGCCGCCGGCCGCTGCGCTGCACGTCTCCTCGTCCCAGGGGCAGGGCGGCTCCTGGGCGCGCGCCCACTGCAGCACGGCCAGGTGGCCGCCGCCGGCCGCTGCGCTGCACGTCCACTCGCCCCAGGGGCAAGGTGGTTCCTGGGCGCGCGCCCACTGCAGCACGGCCAGGTGGCCGCCGCCGGCTACTGCGCTGCACGTCCCCTCGTCCCAGGGGCAGGGCGGCTCCTGGGCGCGCGCCCACTGCAGCACGGCCAGGTGGCCGCCGCCGGCCGCTTTGCTGCAAGTCCCCTTGCCCCAGGGGCAGGGCGGCTCCTGGGCGCGCGCCCACTGCAGCACGGCCAGGCGGCCGCCGGCGGCCGCTGCGCTGCACGTCTCCTCGTCCCAGGGGCAGGGCGGCTGCTGAGTGCGCGCCCACTGCAGCACGGCCAGGTGGCCGCCGCCGGCTGCTGCGCTGCAAGTCCCCTTGCCCCAGGGGCAGGGCGGCTGCTGGGCTCTCGCCCACTGCAGCACGGCTAGATGGCCGCCGCCGGCCGCTGCGCTGCACGTCCCCTCGTCCCAGGGGCAGGGCGGCTCCTGGGCGCGCGCCCACTGCAGCACGGCCAGGTGGCCGCCGCCGGCCGCTGCGCTGCACGTCCACTCGCCCCAGGGGCAAGGTGGTTCCTGGGCGCGCGCCCACTGCAGCACGGCCAGGTGGCCGCCACCGGCCGCTGTTTTGCACGTCCACCCGCCCCAGGGACAGGGCGGCTCCTGGGCGCGCGCCCACTGCAGCACGGCCAGGTGGCCGCCGCCGGCCGCTTTGCTGCATGTCACATCGCTCCAGGGACAGGGCGGCTCCTGGGCGCGCGCCCACTGCAGCACGGCCAGGTGGCCGCCGCCGGCCGCTGCGCTGCACGTCCACTCGTCCCAGGGACAGCCCAACGTCAATGCGCATTGCAGCGCCTCGAGCTGGCCGCCAGCCGACGCTGCGTCGCAGTAGAGCTCGTCGCTGTCCAGCTGCGGCAGCGCCCACCTAAGCGTGGCCATGTCGCCGTGGAAGGCGGCGCGCGTGGCCGCGCGCATTCGCTGCTGCCCCATCAGCTGCGGCCACGCCTCCTGCAGCGCCCACAGCGGGATGGAGAAGAGCTCCACCCCCCTGCCGAACCAGTACTCATCATTCGGCACCGCCTCCCACACGTCCGGCACCTCTGCTCGCAGCTCTGCAACGCGTGGCGCCGCCGCTGCCAGCGCCTTGCTCAGGCGGGGCACCGTAAGGATCGCGTCCCCGGGCGGCAGGACGGAGCAGATGCGAGCCAGCAGATCGTGCGGCAGGGCCGCTGCATGCGCGGTGGGCGGCATGGCGTTGCACCTGCATGTGTTGGGGAGGGAGGGCGGTATGGCGGTCCGAAGCAGCGGTGCAGCGGCAGCGGCGGCGGCGGCGCTGCCAGCAGCGGCGCAACGGCCGCGCGCTGCTCCAGGTTCGCCAGGCCCAGTACGCGGCACCACACGGTTGCTCACCGCTTCCTCGCGCTTGTAAACGGCGCCGCGGAGGGCGGCGCGGCTCTGCCGAGCACGAGGCCGTTTTCCCGCGCTCTCGCCACGCACGCAGGCGCTGCGGCACGGGACTAGCGTGTGTGTACGTGAGCGACGCGGCACCGTACGGTATTTGAGGGTGCCCTTGCCTGCGGCGGCTTGTGGAGCGCGGGTGGCAGCGCCGTGCCGAAGCTTGACCAGCAAGGCTGACTTGACTCCGTAATTTAGAGGGCTTTACAAACTGGGCGGGCAGCAAGTTACACCCGCGCACGACACCACGCATGCGCCTGCTTGCACCGCTTCTTGCCACCGCCGCCGCCGCCGCCGCCGCCGCCTCGTCGCCCCCAAACCGCCCCACATGCGCCCGCCGCTTCGCGCCGCGCGCGCGGCCCGCGAGGCCTGCCAATCCGCCCAGCAGGTCCCCCACCTCGTCCTGAGAGCCTGGTCCAGCAGCGCCCTGCCCGAAAACCCCGCGGCGCGGCGCGCGGCCTTGAGCCGCTTGGCCTCTTCCTTTTTCAGCGGCACACTCCTCCTGCGCCGCGCGCGCATCGGGCGCGCGCCAGCGTGGCTGGCCTACGCGGCCGCCGGGTCGAGGCTGGGCAGCCGCGGCTCCACCTTCCAGCTCCTGGGCCAGCTCCTTGACCCGCGAGCTAGGGTTGGGTTGGGGTTGGGGTTGGGGT